ACGACAAGGAGGGACCCACCGAGAGCAACTGAGCCGCTCGGGGTGTACGCGCGGTTAGGGTTGTATTTCTGCCCCGTGAACACGTACTTGGGGTCGAGTGGAAACATGACAGGGGTTCCGAGGAAGAAGCCAACGGCAACTGTGAGCCAGGGTGTCTTAAGCAGTGAGTCAAATACATCGCGACGCGTTTCCAAAGCGTTGTTCTTCCGCAAATACTCGACGTTGTCTGGCAAATAGGCAGCGGTGGGTCGAACGCTCTCCATATACCTTTCTGTCGCTTCTGTGATGGTGGGGTGGTCAACATAAAGCGGAAGGTTGACTTCACGAACGGGCACTTTGATGCCAACAATCTCTTCAATACTCTCGTCTTGCTCAATCAGACTTTTCAGTAGCTCGGATTGGGAGATCTGGAGAGGGTCGTAATGCACTGTGAGTGTAGCGAGGTTCGGCTCACAGCGCACGCTCGCAAGGTTGCGCCCGGCAAGCTTTTCCTCGAGAATATGAACGCAGACCGTGTTGCGCAGATCCGCAACTTGTTCACCGTACTCTACTATGATGGAAGTGTCGCCGCCTTGCCTGTAAGTGACGCGGGGATGATCTCCATTCGGTTCGACCAGGTGCAATATGGAAGTTGTGGTCCGTGAGCCGAACTCCAACTTGAGGGGCACTATTTCGGTATCATTGCCGGCCACAAGAGCACCCAAAGAAGTCAAGTAGGCCTCATTTGCGTGTTTGATTTTCATGGCATCCTCAAAAGAGACCAGTCGCAACTGGATGCTGTCGCCTGACTTTAGCTGACCAACCTTCCACATCTCGGCTGAGCAGATAGTAACCGCACAAGCAAACCCGCCGAGGTCCGGGCGGTCGCGGGAAAAGATGATGGGAAACTCCCCGGTCCAGTTAACACCACCGTTGGGATACCCGTAGTCGAAGACGTTTGATGGATGAGACCCGCCTCCTCCGCCGGTGGTGCGTGCCCACTTTAACCGTGGACCCTCCAGTCGAATGCCACTGCGACTACTATTGTGGCTGACAGTCCATTTGGAGTTGGTAATTGTCGCCATTCCCTCGGGGGTCAGTATGTCTTCCGAGCCATACGGACCATTCAGGCAGAATATCTCCGAGTATCCGTAGTCAGGAATTGCCTTTTGAGGCAAAGAAAATGGTGTGGCTGCGGCTGCCCAAACTGCTGTATCAGGGGCAAGGGCGAGAATATCGTTGATCTGCAGCTTACGCCCCTGAAGACCGCCAAAAACGAGCTCTGGCGCCGTTGACTTGGAACCGAGGTACACAGGTATCTCTGGGAAGCCTCCTTTGACTGCGAGGTAGGTCCGAAGGCCGTCACCTATGACGTTGCCAATCTTGAGCGTCTGCCCCTGTTGCACTAGGATCCGGGACCACATTGGCTGGTCCTTGCCGTCAACACTGACGGGAACTTGGGCGCCACACACGGCCACCACGGCGGATTCATGGAATAGTAGTTCCGGACCAGACATGGCTATTTCGAGGACCTCAACCTGAGGATCATTACCAACGAGAATATTTGCCGCTCGACTACTCAGATCATCCATTGGTCCGCCGGGAGGCACGCCGTGACCGATCGTTGGTCGCCCAGGGTAATCCTGAATCGTGGTGAAGACGCCAGGATTGAGTACTTGTACGGCACACACCTTTGCCTTGAAAGTGGACAGGAAAGACGTGAGTGTATCGCCCTTGGTGAACTCATCGGAACGTAGCAGCTGCGAAAGGTACTGCAAATTCGTCTGCGTACCTTGCAAAGCAGTTTGGTCTAGGGTGGCGAGCATCTTCTTCTGCGCCTCAACTCGACCGTTGTTGCTGTGTACCATGACTTTTGCGATCAGAGGATCGTAAAGGGGTGTGATTTGCTGGCCGCTCTTCACCCATGTGTCCACCCGAATACCATTACCTTTAGGCCAGCTGACATGCTGTAGAAGCCCCGGGCTAGGAGCAAAGTCGAGTAGGGGCACTTCAGCATATACGCGGACCTCGATGGCCGCACCGTTTGGCTGCGCTTGTGGGAGGCTTCGTAGCTCCTCTGATTGAATGCCGAGCTGACCGCCGTGCTCGTAGTCGGCTTGTCGCAGCATCAAGTGAACCAGGTCGACACCATAGCACATCTCTGTGATGCCGTGTTCGACCTGAAGACGTGTATTCATTTCGAGGAAGAAGAAATCAGCCGTTTCATCGTCGACCAAGAATTCAACAGTGCCGGCGCTCTTGTACTTGAGTTGGGAGGCGTAGTCAACTGCAGCCTGAAGCATCCTCTCGCGTAGACCTGGCGTCCGCTCAACGAATGGACTGGGGCACTCTTCAACCACTTTCTGGTGACGTCGTTGGAGAGAACATTCCCTCTCCCCGAATGCAACCACTTGCTCGCCGTTTCCAAAGACTTGCACCTCTACGTGTCGGGACCGAGGATAATACTTTTCCAGAAAGACGCCGCTGTTCTTAAATAGAGCGCCTGCGCGACTCTCGACTGTGGCGAATGCTTTTGGGATATCATCGTCGTCGTAGCATATCTGCAGACCCATACCGCCGCCTCCTCCGGTGGCTTTGAGCATGACCGGGAAACCAAGCTTCTTGGCTTCCTCCATGGCCTCGTGGGTTGATGGGATTAAGGAAGTACCGGGGATGACAGGCACCTTGACAGCCTCAGCAATAGCTCTCGCTTCATGCTTCAGACCCATGGCCTTGATGGAAGCGGATGATGGACCCATAAAGATCTTGCCTGCAGTCGTCACGGCATCGGCAAAGTCGGCGTTCTCGCTGAGGAATCCATATCCAGGGAATATGGCATCGGCGCCGCTGCGTTTACAGATTTCTAGAACGGCGTCTCTGATGTGATTGTTAGAAGCATAATGAGAGCCATATCGGGGTCACTCACCCATCTGTATAAGTGTCGCTACCCCGCAGCGCGATCGCCTCGTCAGCCAGCAAGGCATGTAGTGATGTTGTGTCAGCGTCCGTATAGATGGCGATGCTGTGGACACCGAGCTCACGGCAAGCCTTGATGCAGCGAACAGCAATCTCGCCACGATTGGCCACCAGGACCTTCTTAATGCTACGAAGTGGCCTGGAATGCATAGCTTTGTTGAGGCTTTGGACAGGTCAGCAACAAGTTGGATGCGGTCAGAGAGCACATGGAGGGGTAGACCATACGAAGTTGGGTTCGTGACCCCCAGTATATCAATCAGCCCATTCCGTTCGTCCGCATATTAGTGATTCGAAGGCAAGACGCGCCCACCGGGCCGGTGGCTACTCTGAAGGCCTCTCATGTCGTTACCCCAACAGCTAGAGTCCCAGGAGAGGGGAAACGTATCCAGGAGCATTGCCGGAGCACCGGGTTGAGATAAGGGATCATCGGCGAAGCGCATGAAGGTTTGTCGGGTGGAGGTCCCGGTAGGCGGTAGGTTTCTGGTAAGATGATTGCCCTCTTTGCTCAGTTGACGTCGTTGGTCTGTACCTCAAAGGGTGTGGACGGCAGATGCAGTAGACCCCGCATCGTACCAATTGATGGGGTCACAATGGGCACCCACTACTATCAGGAACCCCTGTCGGCGGAGTTCAGTGATAAGGACCACCTGATCCAGCATACCCCAAGACGTCCCTTTGGGGTAATGGACCCCAATCATCTACCCCAATGGTAGAGTACCATCCATCTCTCACTTCGACTGTAGAAGCGTTCTTATTAGACGACATTGAGGCAGCAAAGACAAGATGCCTTCTTTACGCTTACTCCATCGTCTCCCGTTACGTCATACGGTTTCTCGAAGCTCAGCACTTCCTAGACAGCGCCCATCATCCCAACACTTCAGAATGGCCTCAGGACTGGCGCGCAAATACGAGATCAACGCCGACATGGGCGAAGGCTTCGGCCGCTGGAAGATGGGCCCGGACGAGGAACTGATGCCGTACATCGACGCCGCCAACATTGCGTGCGGATACCACGCCGGCGACCCTTCCATCATGCTCAAGACCGTTCGTCTGTGCAAGAAACACGGCGTCAAGGCTGGCGCGCACCCGGGACTGCAAGACATGTTTGGCTTCGGTCGCAGAAAGATTGAGATTGACCCCAAAGACATGTACGCCATGGTGCTGTACCAGGTCGGCGCCCTCAAAGCCATACTCAATTCGGAGGGCGTCGAGCTGTCCCATATAAAGCCTCACGGGGAGCTCTTCTTCTACATGCAAAGAGACGAGACCATCATGAGAGCTGTTTTGGAAGCTTGCGCCACGTTTGGGGACAACATCCCAGTCTACGCATCGCAAAACGCTACACAAGAAGCCATGTGCAAGGAGCTAGGCATCCCATTCCAAGGGGAGGTCTACGTCGACATTGATTACTCTCCAGAAGGGAAGCTCATACCAGTGGCGCAGTCCAAGGTGGCTACACCAGAATTGTGCTACGAGAGGGCATTGTCTGCATCACTGAAGGACGAGGGCAAGGATAACAGCGGCGGGATCTTTAGCTTTGGGTTTGAGGGAAAGCCATTCACTATCTGCGTGCATTCCGATCATCCGACGGTGCTTCAGAATGTTACGGGTGTACGCAAGGCAGTCGACGAGGCGAATAAGCAGAGGTTCCCTGATGCTGCAAAGTAGTTGTTTACCGATACGAATGTAATAGTACTTCAAAAAAAAAAAAAAAAAAAAGAGTATTAATCAGACTCGACACAGTCCCAAGAACTGTTGCTGACTTGAGCGGTTTTGGGGAAGCACCCCTCCGCTAGGTGATAGGCCTGCCTTACTGCCTCCGATTTCGTGAAAGATTAGCTTCCACAAGTAGGAAAGAAAGGCTGACTTGCCCAAAGCTCCTGCTTCTACGTAAGTACCTGACAATGCCCATCCACCTTCCCTCAGACTTTTTCTCACAACCTCAGGTCACATCTCTTCTCGTCTGCCACAGTACTCCAACACACGCTCGCAAACATCCACACATCTTCTCGAACGATTTTATGGACGCCCACAGCAACAGAGTAATGAACAAGCGAACACTGGAGGATGAGGACGACGCTGCGCCAGCTGGAGAAAATGGTGGCAACTCGCCCGGCGTGCGTAATGACGCCTGTCGTACCCAGACGATCGAGATCGACTATAGCGCCTTCGATGGCGAGGCTGGCGGATCCACTAAGCTCGAGATATGGGTGACAGATATACAGGGAGTCGAGAGTCGAGTTGGGGAGATTTGGGATGTTGAGAGCTATGAGCGAGCCGGGAAAGTCAAGGCCATTGCGAAGAAGCGCGGTATCTCAGAAAGGGCTTCCTCTACGCCGATGGATAAGTTTGAAGGTGAAGATTGGGAGACGGCTCGTCGGGAGCTGGAGGGTCGTCAAGAAGAAAAGGCACGCCAAGAGGAAGCAGCTGACCAAGAGGAAAGGACTCGTCAACAGGATAAAGCTCATCAAGAAGAGAAGAAAGCTCAACAGGAGGAAAACAGAGTGCTTAGGGGAGGAAGGGAGGCTCATCAAGAGAAGAAAGCCCTTCGGGAGGAGAAGAAGGCTCAGCGGGAGGTTAAGAAAGCTGTCGTCGAGAAGAATAAGGCCTGTCAGGAGAAGCAAAAGGCTGCCGATGATCTTCGAACAAGAAAACAAAAGAAGATAAAGGCCCATCCGGAAAAGAAGGCCCGTAAAGAGAAAAGAGCTCTCGAGAAGAAAAGGGGTATCCGGGAGAATGAGAAAGCTCTCCAGAAGAAGAAGAAGATACTTAGGGATAAGCAGAAGGTCTTACGAGAGAGTAGAAATGCCCTTCATGACAAGAAGAAGACTCGTCAGTCGATGTCAACAGAGCGTCTACGATCTGGATAGAAGGAGCAACTTTACCAGGGACGAAGGGCTCACCAAAATTTGACCTATGACAGTCAGAAAGACATGCCGATAGATTTCCTAGGCCTCATAGACGGTCGTGGAGGCTAGATGCACAGGGTAAACGAGATGGACGAGGTGATATCGCCAGTGGTTAAGGCACCAAGTATTCTTAGCATCGCAGCAGAGCACTAACGATCTTATACGTCAGACCCTCTTCCCGAAGTCCCATGCACATCGTGAGCAGGCTATGAGCACTGTCAGTGAATTCCGCCTCCTCCTCATATATCCTGTGCAATTTACCATGTCAGATCGTAAGCCAGCAATCTTGTGACGTGTTTGCGACTGCGGGCAAATTTCATAGCCTCGTATCATTCGTAGGTAGGTCTAGGTAACGCCACGCTTTGCTTCCTCTCTAAGAATAAGCGCTTTCAGGGCGACTTGGCTGTTGGTCGCCAGTGTTTGCATTCTTAGGCTGCGACTTGAGGGTGGTCAGACCGAGATGTAGGGCAGAGAACACCTTACTTTCGGGAAACCTCGACGCATATCGTCTGACGGCTTCTCGGTGGTGTGAATAACGTCTTGTCTTTGATTATGGACTTACACAATGTCTTGGATGGATGAGATCGAATTACTTGAGCACATCGGGTTCAATGTTAATGTTGCACGATTTTCGTTGCCATTATGGGGCCCATCCGCCTACCTAGGTAGGATTACCCGAGGCAATCTGGGTCCATCCCCTTCGTAGCGTCGTGCCCCATGTTAGCTCGTTAGGGATGGAGTCTCCGCTCCGGCCGTGAAGGAACAATCTTGATAGAGATATACCTCGGAGATCGCTGCTTCGGCTTTCACTCGATAGAGAAATCTCTGACGTAAGGTAGTCCCAGCCCTTATCGTTCTTCACGATATAAGTTGGCTGCGTTCCCCTCAAAATAAGCTCAACAGGAACGGGCCGATCCGATGAACATACAGTCAGTGCAGACCGCTGTCACCATTGCGCTGACTTGCATCCCTCCCAAAAGCTAATTACTTAGCGCTGCATACTCACATGCAAGGCACATTTTCCGTCACCTCAAGCGTTGACTGGTATATTATAGACAAGTCTGCCACCTTGGAGAGCCGATGATGGAAGGAGATCAGGTCTGTATTGAGTTGTCTTCCTCTGTCCAGCTCAGAGCAGGGAACCCAGGCGCTCATGTCCTTCCATCGACTGAGACACCCAAAGAGAAGGGACATACCTCCAGGCACCGGCCTAGGTGCTCAGCTTTCCGCCGAGTTCCTTCCATGTTTCGAAAAATGCAAGTATCTGTAGTCCTGCATGGACCAGTTTCCTTCCTCTTGTTAGGCACCTTGCTCCAAATACCTGGCTTATCATGTCACTCCATTAACGTGCCTCAATTAGTACATCACAGAACACCAGAACGCCAGATCGACAGACCACTAGACTATCGAAACACGACGAAAACATGGCGACGCCGAGCCTTGAAATACCGGCTGAATGGAAGAACGAGATCGACAAGCTCTCGAGATGGTATGGGAGCGATGAAAGATATTCGGTCGCTCACGTGCAATCACCTCCCTCGACCGACGACGGTAGTTGGCTGGCCTTGGTATTGCATATCATAGGCATGAGGGCGAGCGGAGATAACGGTGTCTTGTCCAGGTACCTCGTCGGTTCGCTCCAAAAGGAAGAGGTGTCAAAAAGCGAGTGGGACAGCGCTGGATATACCGTGGGGATGAGGCCCGTGGTGTCAAGATACGGTGGTATCGGATTGGCCTCGGAGCTTGATTGCAGATACAAACTGATCGTCATTGACGCCGATCACTCCAAGAGCGTCGGCTATGCGATCTCGTTGGTCAAGTTGTCCATTCTCGCGAAGACCGAAGAGACGACTATTTTGCGCTTCGTCTGGTTGTCATCTGCCCCCGTTGACAAAGATTTAGGCAGGATGCTCGCCGTTGCTACCAACAGATCAGAGACTCCCGTCACAGCTTTTCGATTGACACAGCGGACCAATTCGCCAAATTTGTCAAATTTGAGATGGATTGAATACAAAGCAAGCGACGGGGAGTACCCAGACGCTGTGATGGAAGCTATTGCTCCAGAGTATGCGATGGTTCAGGACCCGGGGCCGTCGGAATACAATACAACGAGAACGATAGCCTTCTGGGTTGGAGACTCCGAGTGGAAGCGGCATCGTCTGAGACATACGCTTCTAGCGGCCGCTCGGAAGTACTTCACTGACGAGAAGGATACCAGATCAATCTATATCACCCCCGGTTTGATGGGAAGATCGTTGAACGATGCCAAGAACGCGTACCATTTGGTTCTTCTCAATAGCGAGATAAAGGAGGTATTCGACACAGAGACGTCGCATGTGGTTCGGAAGAGGGTGGCGATGTCGAGGGCCCAGATGCTGACTCAAATAACTTGCGCCTTGGATAAGGATGTTGAGCAGGCGGATAGAACCATCCACGCCCAAGTGGCACTACATGACATCCTCGACGCGGAACCTAAAAGGGAATTCGAAGATATTCACCTTCCGGTATTCATCATCTATGCGATGGATGAATGTCCTGAAATTAATATCGGCCGTCTTCGTGTTTGCTTCAAGGAGCCGGCATTCGCTGAGGCTATCCGCCGGCTTTATGTGTTGGGGTTCATCTACTACGGCATGGACGGAATCAGTGTACATCTCAACGTTTCCCAGGCCCGGAAGACTCTTGACTTCTTATCAATCACGGGAAACGACTTGTCAGTAGCCTGCTTTCTGAGCTGCATAACAGAGGACACGCCCGCCACGGCCCGGTCCGCGATGATCGACATTGCGGCTATTGTGCTCACGTGCCACGCTTTGAATCCTTTCTTCATCATTTCACCCGATCACTTTGCGGACAAAGATTCCATCAACGGGCTATTGCAGCGGCTTTGCATAGACGTGCCAAGCGATGTTATCAAGAGTGGCGCTATGTGGTTGGCTTTGGCTATCTTCCGCCAATACGAAGAGGAGTGGCATACTGACATGGGTTTTATCATATTTGAGGATGGGGCGCTTACTCTTTCATCCAATACATGCCGCAAAATCAGTCACCGTGCAAGAAGCATTGCGAATCGTGTGAACAACTTGATCCCGGAGGCTCAGGACAACGCATCAGAAGCGACGCTCGGAATTTCTCATGAAGACGTGAGAGAAATTCAAAGGTGAATGGTTCGTGCTTGGGCACACAACGTCCTTCTCCCCGACGGCAGAGGTGGCCTGGACAGCGTCTTTTCTGGGACCTCGATCAAGCTAGTTCCCGACCAAGGTTTGCGATTTCCTCAGGACGCGCCACTACACGTACTCAGCTTTGGATTCGCTTTGTTTGAAACGGAGTACTATGCATGGCTTCCGACGGTCATACCGCAACAGGTTCTGTTCGATTCTGTTGGCGAAATGGGCTGTGACCTGGTGGACTTTGCTACGGTATATTTTGAGGAGGACGATGAAGATGATTAGAAAGGCTGGTCGGGAGACGAATCGGATCAAGGTGACGAAGCATAGGTGGGTAGTCAAGACCTTCCTGAAACGACATTCTCTCTTGTATCGTTCGCCCACGTAGAGCCTGCGCATGTTTCGCAGTAAGACGAGAGAGTTGAGGGCATCACTTCTAGGTTAATAGACTCTTTCTTACCTAAAGCTTCTCAAGTGAATTATGTCTTGATCCCTCCCGGGCCACTGCCTGATATGTCAATCGTAGATGAATAGAACTGGCAGTTTAACAAGGCGGTAAGTAGTCGTAAAAGAACCTTCAACTCGTCGAAGATCAAGTACTTCAAGCACATTATCAGCTCAAATGGTAACCAGTTGGCTTTAGAAATAGTCGTATCTTGTGTACGTCATTCAGAGAAGAGAGTTGGGAGGAGCTCCTAAGAATCAATTGGTGCTGTGTGTATCTACCTAGGATCCTTGAGAACGAAATACAAGCCTTGTGACATGCCCAAAATGCAATCAAACTTCTGAAACCTTTTCGTTTGTTCAAACTTTTGCGTTGTCTTTCTTCCTACATTCTCCCACATCTCTCTGATGAAATCTCCTACTTTCCTCATTTCTTAGAACATATCCGTCCCTTTGTTGTCTCCATATTGTCGGCAGACTTTTGATGTCTTTGCACATAATTTGAGCCTTGCGTTTTGGTTTACTTTCAAGGGTATGATCTCACCTATTTAGACTTTACAGGCGCGGACTTGGTAGCCTTCTTCTGTCTCTCAAGGGCCATGGCAGCTTTATAGATGCAACAGTTCTTCTTATGAATCTCGATGTCGATCCCACTCTTCATAACGATGTTGCAGTGTTCGACCAAGTCCCCTTCACCATGCTTCTGCATGTGCGTACGATGGGTATCGGTGTCTAACTTCTGATCCCAGTAGCAGCCGGATTGAGAGCAACACTTAATCGAAGGCTGCTGGGTGGTAGACATCTTCGCTTCGAGGTGCCGAGGAATTTGGTGTTGAGAGAAGAGGGACTCAGCAGTGCGCGATCAGGGGTCGGGAGAAGAAAAGTCGATGGCAGCGAAGAGACGACATGAACAGATCGTGAGAGGGATCTTTTACTCCTATTTATACTTGATCATCTTAGACACCGCTCTTTCTCTTTTCAAAGACTATTCCGACAATTTGAGAGGGCTGTGGGCGACGAGGTGGTCAATCAGCCACGTGATATCGCTCCATGAGCGCGTTATCTACCCATGATCGCTACCACTCCTCCCGACGCGGTTGCCTCACGCGTTCTGGAGGATGCCATTGCATTACGCAGTGTCATGGGGTCGGATATACAGGAGTTACATGAGACCAAGTGGCTGTACCTGGCTGACCAGGGCATCCAGGGATTGGCGAATGGCCGAAGGCAGACTGGGAATTGATATGCCGGTTACCATCCCCGGGGGGCAAATTTGTTCCCTTGAGCGAGATAAACGTCTGCAGGTAACCAGGGATTTCAATGAGAATGCAACCTGGGGGCTGAATTGATGGGCTGTTCCTTGAGAGCTGACCATCCCCGACGGCTTTCCGCGGCGCTTCCTTTCAGAATTTTGTAGCTTTTATCGCTTAGATTGTATTCGGGCTCTGAGAAAATCCGGAGCATGCGGTGCTCAGCGAGCCCGACCTATAGTGAGCAATTGCCTCCGTCTACGGACAGCAATGGGTGACATTGGGGTCGAAATATTACCAACTCTGCCTGGAATAGCTTCATGTCAACTAGTAAAGCAAGCGAGATTGAAGGTGAATCTTTCGGTAGTCAATCTGCTGTAATCTGAACCCTAACGACCGAGGAAGCGATTTACTGCACATATTCCCACTGCGGTGTGAGAGCGGCCGCATTTCTGGCCTCCCAAGCATCAAAACCCCAATCATGGGGGAGAACTGCCCCCCTTGTCACCTGCATCCTGCCATGCATGTTGGAGCAAGGCAGCATTGAGGTCGTGTGCGAAGGGGAATTTCAGAATCCGATGCCATCCACCTACCTAGCGATTTGGTAGGGGAAAACGCATGGGTTAAGTAGTCTTAGCTGCGAATGTTGCCACGAGCCGCCAACCCCTACGAGAGAATCATACGCTGACTCTATGTATGCAGTCTATGACTCAAAGCCTTGGAGCTGCCGGCATGCATACAGGCATGGTGGGTGATCTGCCCGCTCGGGGCGTAGGAAAGGCCCTTTCCGGCTTGCCATCATGCCGGCTTCTCCAAGCAGACCAACTTCTGACATCCCCCAGTTGCGGATCTCGCTCCGCCGTGGAGAAATAATCCATCATTTTCGAGGGTTGAGAGCCGAACACGTGGTGTTTGACCACCCGTTTTGTGCCCACCGGCTGCTGTTCAGAAGCGTCGACGGCATTGCGGGCGTTTAGAACACCACAAGAGCTTGCATGCCGTTCCCATGGCCGCTCGGGATGGCATCATGTGGTCTTACTTGGCCCGGAGATGGTGTATTATTCGCTCCTCAAGGTATTGTACGGTGGACCTGCCATTGCTAATCACAACCTTTTGGAATTTGGCACTGGCCCCTATTGACCTCCCATATAGTGGAAAACTTCTGAGCACAAAGCTGTGAACAACGGTGTCTGTTTTCTCGCGTCTATGGGCATTTGTGATGGAAGCGGATCGTGAGCTCCATTTGGATGTTTGACTGAAACTGTCGATGCAGAATGTTGCGGGATCTGAGGTAACAGAGGCAGTGCACGTAGACATGACGACTTGCTGATCCCTTTCTTCCTACCTCACGTAGCAGTGTACATCAACGAGAATCTCTAATTGGTATATGTCATGATATTTTACTCATACCTCCCTCAACAATCATCACTCCAGCACCGCGTTGCTCCCGACTGTGGTACCGCGAGGGCATCGCGTCACGTCAATACTCGTCATCAGATTAGTATCATGGGATGCTCAGCAAGACATCTTATTTCGCCATTATATTCATTCTCAAATGCCAACATGATGTGTATACCGTGTCACTGGCCTGAATCTTTCTTTTGGCGTAGCAACAATATCTTGCCTGAAGGCTTATCAGGCGTATGGTCTCCTTGTTGCAAAAAAGAAGGGAGACCACGAGGTAGTCAGACGTACTCCTGATGCCGTCCTAGTAGGAAGCTTCTCACCTGACCTGAGACGGGTAATTGCCAACATGGGTGCCCATCTAGATGGTTGGGAAGGTGCCGTCATTCTTTGCTCCTCTATTCTCGCCATGCTACTGCAGTCGGCACGTCCTCGTTTCTGTATTTTGAGTCTCTGACCCGGACCAACGATTTTAAGGGTGCTCTCTCGTGCTTGGGAATAAAATATCGAGGACCGGGCTCAAAGCAAAACCATTGCATCTCGTGGTCTGGGTGAAGGAGCAAGGACATGCTACTATGATTAGGAGTAGGTAGACATGCCGTCTGCTCAAAAGAGGAGAAGAGCTCGCTGAACATTACCGGACTAGGCAGAGACCTCTTCCAAGAAGACGCGAGGAGTACAAGAGCAAAAGTAGAATCGTTTCTCGCGGCCTTCGGTGGGACATTGCGACTTTTCTTCCTATGTCAACATGTGTTCTTGGGACCTCAATTTCAGTATCGGCTTCATCGATCGAGAAAGGGTAAAAAAACGCGGATTCTTGGTCTAATCATGAGCAAACGTCAGCACAGATCTTTCAGTCGTCGTCAATCGAGGTCATGAATGAAAGTCGATACGTCTACCTTCCGTATCCGCTCGAACCAAGTATTTTCCGTAGGCTTACCGCGGCCCTGAACTGAGGCTTCAGGTACAGCAGAGTCTGGTCCAAAGTTAGACCGGTAGAACATTGAAAACAAGAACCTAATCAATGACAAAGTAAAGATTTTGACAACGTTGCAGAGGCTCGGGTACCATCAAGAAAGAAGCACCAGGAACGACAACTTGAGGGCAGCCGTGTATTGCCAGGAGAAAATTTCAGTGTCGAGACGATGTGAGGCAATCAGGCATCCAGCCGCACGTCAGCTTCATACATGACAGGATTTCATCCCATCAGAGGAATTTTTTGGCAAGGCAGATTAATCGGGCTGTGTATCCTACTTTGGTCGACTCGGTTCACCGAGTGCTCCCAATGTAACCTCGAACCAACCAACTGTCAAACCGGCCGCATGCGAGAGACCGTTTCTGCGAACGCAAGAAGCGGTCGTGACCCGAACGCTCCCAATGATCACAGACTCCTGTTTCCTGATCGATTGACTGACGGCGCTTAATTTTTTCCACTTGGCGCGAACGTCATGAACATCCTCCACCGGGGCTGGTGCCCTGCCACGTTGTGTGTAAAGAGCCCTCTTGAGTGTTCCTAAGTCGGTCACTTGACTCTCAGCTCCAATTTCGCCAATAGTTTCAATAAAAGTACTCTGCTGTTCTGCACCGGGGGTGGGTGATGCCGGTGTGGTCGACGCTGGTGTGGTCGAGTCCTGGACACTCGGCCGCGCACTCGCACCCCGTCGACAGGGGCACGATTGCACCGCCAAATTATTTCTTGCGAACCCTTCCACGAAGAAGATGAGATTGAAAATCATGTTCGTGAGTGAAAGGATTCTCTTGGAGGAACAGATCAAGCTCACACTCACGTCGCGGCCGGAATGCCGATCCCGCGCTCCCCGTTGTTGACCAGGTTGGCGTTCGAGGAGGCCCTCGCGAGGTGTGTGTCTGCCAGATGCGACAGCCATGCATCAAGCGGTTCGACGAGGCGGACTAGCTTTCGAACAGTATGATTTTCTTTTCTATTCGATTCGGTTCTACATGGGTTCGTGATGCTCTGCTGGCCCTGGGGGTCAGCAAAAAAAGGGGAGGGGGTCGGTGTCCTGCACTTTGGTCCGCCAGCGGCCGCTGCCAACTCGACTCGCAGGAGGAAGAAATTTGAGAGTCACTAAGTGAATGAACCCATTGAACTGCAAGCAATGGTATTGAGGAACATCATTCAAGTGTGGCAAATCTGGTACAGTGTCCCAATCCTATTCGCGTCTACGT